GCTCAGGTCGTGATCTCAGAGTTGTGGGATTGAGCCCTGCGTCAGGCTCTGCGCTGTGTATGGAGTGTGCTTAAGGCTTAAGTCTCTCTCCCTTTGCCCTCCCCCCTGCCCCCCCATTCTCGCTCTAAAAATAAATAAATAAATCTTTTAAAAAAATGAGGGAGGAGGAGGTGGAGGGGGAGGAGGAGGGAATGGGAGAGGGGGAGGTAAGAATAAAAAGAGCAAGTAAGCTCCTCAGAAAGAGATACGGAAAGATTTCAAAGATACAGAGTAGATGGTAAAAAAAAAAAAAAAAAGGAAGATACAAGGAAGTATGTACAGTGAGCTACCACTTGTGTAAAACAGGAGGGGAAAATAAGTATGGTTAGATAGTTCTGTGGATGCAAAAGTAGTTACTAGAAGGATAATCAAGAAACCAATTAACCGTGATTCTTAGTTGAGGGGCAGAGCGGGCCAGGTGGTACCTGAGCAGATGGGACACGAGTGATTGATTTATTTTAGTGTCTACCTTTTATATTTTGTAAATGTTTGAACTACGTGAAGGTATTACTTTCAAATTTAAGAAAAAATAACATTCCTCTGGTTTAAACAAGCTAATGCCCGTGAGGAAAGAAAATGTTTTTTATGCTTGTGATTCATAATGTTGAAGAAAAAAAAGTGCACGTATATATGACACACTTTCCATAAAGGTGAGTATCTGCAGGAAGGAAGCACGGCTGAACAGTCGTGCCTTAGGGTTTGGCGCGTGGCTTGGCTGGGAGATGACCCGCTGAAGAGCGAGCCACGGCCTTGATTCCAGGGGTGCGGGCGGATAAACGCGCCACGGCCGCCCAGCCCGTTCCCACGGGCCCGCGGGGACAGGCCCCCCCACAGGCCACCGCCCGTTCCGTGGGCCCCCACACCCCACAGGCGTCCACCCGTGAGCCCACCCCGCGCCCTTACCCCTACTTCCCCGGCCTCCGGCTGCGGTATGGCCGGCCCTTCTTGCACGTCTGGCGTGACCCCGCTGGAACTCTCGCTGCTGAACGCGTCTCCGACGTGCTGCACACGCACGCCCGGCAGGGACCACGCAAGGGCGCGGCAGCCCCAGAACGTGCTGGAGAAGGGTGGGAGCCACCCGCGTGTTCCTTCTGTGGTGAGTAGGAAGAGCAGGCTGGCAGGAGAAGATGTTCCAGCTGGGTCCTAGGCGCAGCAGCGCCCCTTCTCAGCTGCTGGTGCGCAAATCCCTGACCTCCTCGGATTCGGTTCCCTCCACCATATAAAGCGGGGTGTTCTGGCTGCCGCATGCGTGGTGAGGACCAAGCGAGGCCCTGCGGGGGGACATGTGAAGGAAGAGGGTTCATGTCTTTCCCCTCTCTGGGTCATGCCGATGTTGACTTTGTAACCTTAAGCTCTACTTGAACTATCAGGAGAAGGTTCTAGCCTAACCGAAGCTTGTTGCGGGTATATATGGTTTTGTGTAACCACCTCATCCTCTGCCCAGGCTTCCCAGGCTCGGCAGGAGTATCTCGAGAATCACATCCAGACGCAGTCGTCGGCCCTGGACAGTTTTAATGCCACGAACTCAGCCTTAACGTCGGACTCCATCGGCCTGCAGGTACTCATCTGCTCACCGTTAGCCCGGGGCCCTCTGTTGCGGGGCAGGCACGCCTCACCAGGTGTGGGCCCTGTGCGTTTGTAGAAAAGCAAGTCACGGGATGTCTTCAGATCATTATGCGGGATCCTTCAGGCACGGTCACAGTAAAGACCCCGCCAGGACGTGAAGGGAGTGAAAGGAAGTGCTTCCAAGAGGAGGCTCTTAACCTTTGAGTTGAATTTGTTTTTGCCTTTGTTAAAACGCGAGTTTAGATCCTGAGCTCCATGCTAGAGGTGGCCCTTTCTCCAGCAGGTACCCGAGTGGGTCTTAAGTGTCAGTGCCTAGAACTGCACATCAGCCCCTGCTCCTTGCAGCCCCGGTTTCAGGAAGTCCCACCCAGGCACGGGAAAGACAGACTTAATCACAGGCGGTCTCTAGTCACGCGTGGCCAGGAGCTCCCAGGGGCTGTGAAGCACGTTTGCCTAACTTAGAAATTATTTCGCAAGAAAAGAAATCCTACGCGAGCCGACAGGGAAGCAGAGAGACTCAGGATCCTCCAGATGTGTGTTGTCAATCCGCTTCCACTTCCGGAGGATTGCTCTCGTGAGTAATCTGATTTGCTGGGAGCTCACCAGGCCAGTGCCACCCACTGTCACCTTCCAGCCAAGTCCTGCATCTCCTATGCAAATTAACCTGAAAGTGTTCAGGACAGAGTGTTACATTCACCAGAACCCGCTTCCTTGGCTTTAGTTTCCAGATATAACAATCGTTTCTGCCTCGCCTCCAAGTTCATTTGGTTCTTATCTTTTTACCCTCCTCTTAAAGGTCCCACGGCTATTACTGTCCTTCCCTGTTCTACGTAAATGACTTGTCAGATAAACAGATTTTCATGTTGGGATCATCCCCTTCCCCATGGACCTAAGGTCCAGTAACAGCTGGTAGAGCAGCAGTGCCAACCACAGAGTGGGCGCCGCAGTGAGCCCCGGTGGCTGGGAGGCCACTTCTGGTGGGGTCTCGGAGCCTCACCCTTTTCCTGGTCCTTCTTAGTGCACGCCCGGTTTCCCCTGGCCTCAGGCCTGGCCCTGCTCTGGGTCTGGTTTAGTCAGTAGCCTTGGCTTTCCCTTCCTCCTGCCATCCAGAGGGGTTGGCCAGGTCCCTTTCCTTCTCTCTGGGGCATCTTCTCACTCCCTGCTAACTGGGAGATGCCGCACCTCCCCTGAGCTCAGACCTGGTTGGTACGGGTACTGACTTTCTGGTTTTTCTTCCCCACCGTTACTTCCGATCTGCCATCCCACTGGCGCCCCAGGCCGTGAGGTCAGCGTTACAACAGGGTCAGCGGTGACCCAGGTACCCTGACTGGTTCCTAGTTATGGTCCAGCCTCTTGGCCTGGGGCAGACCGAGGAGCTTTATCATGAAAAGATTAAAAACTATTGTTAAAAAGAAGAAGAAGGAGAAAAAGGAGAAAAGAAAGGCACCATATCACAGCCAGGAAATTCAAGTGAGTCTGAAGATAGTTGGTTTCTTAATTCTGCAAGGCCCTGACCTCTCCCATTGCCCAGACGGTCCCATGTTCATTATTATTGACCGTGAGACCAGACCCTTGGTTTGATTTCAAAGAATGTCAGAACGGGAAGGAACTGCTGATCTCCAGTCCCCTTGTTTTATGGATCAACAAGCTGAGGCCAGCAGAGAGAAACGACTGGAACGAGGTGTCTAGCTTCTAGCTAGTAGCAGAGCCAGGGTTAGAACGCTGGTCTCTGGGTCCAGATGTAGGCTCATGAGCACAAGAGTTGTATCTGTAAAGCCAGTGGGCCTTGGAGGGGGCTGGTGGGGCCAGGTGGTTTCTAAAGCCCGTTGCAGCTCAAATATTTTCTGATTCTTTGCTTCCAAATGGCTTCTGTATATTCTTTAATATCAGTGTACCTCCATCAAAAGTCTTTTCTCCTGATTCAAGGAGGTTTTTTTTATCCAAAGGGGAGGCTAAGGACTTGAGGAAGCTTCAGGGACTGATCATCTACAAAGAGGACAAAGGTGTTAGAAAATGGGTCCAACACCAGCGTTTCCACGTCTAACTGAAAGTTGAGCGCGACTTGGGGAGGTGGTAGATGGTGCCCATATTCTGGTGCCCAGTGGTGAGAATTCGGGTTATGGAGGCCATTCTCTGTACGAGGAGTTAACCAAGTAGAATCCAAAGCATTAACTAAACACCAGCATGTATTTAATCGTTCTTGCTCCGGTGGGTGGCCTGGAGCAGTAATCAACAGGCTTCTGACGCTTGTCAGGCACCCCTCCGAGTCACCAGCCTCTGCTCCTGGTGCTCCTTCGTCGCCGCCGTGCTCTGCGAGGGGAGAGTGACGCCCTTGCGGCCATTACCAGCACCTCAGCCGTGCTATTCCGTGCTGACAGGCAGGCCACAAACACAGCAGTGATGGCCCCTTTAAGGAAGAAGGGCAGTATCTCCATTCTCCAAAACACGTTTTGTTTTTCGATTTTGTTGTGGGAATTTGAAAGATGCAGAAGACACAGGGAAGGAAACAGATATCCTCCGTAATCCTCCCACATTAGCGATAACCTATTATTTGGATTTTGGTGAAATTCATCCTAGTCTTTAAAAAAAGTTTCTCTGCATAAATACATTTGAACGAATGCTTATACATTTTCCTTCTCAAAATGGGATTTGTTCTAGCCTTACTATTTTCCCAAAACCCAATTTTTTTCTATGTGAAATGACGCATTATGAACATTTTTCCTTGGAAAGACTCCATTTTAGGCCGTTTCCGTCCATCCTAAGCAGTGGGCAGAGGCTCGCTGGGTGGGCAGAGCCTCGCTGACCTCTTGCCCACGGCTGGGGGGACCCTCCGCCCCCCAGACACCAGCGTCCCGGCTTGCAGCTGCCGGGGCCTGACCTCTCTCTCAATGGTTAATGGCAAAGGGATGTCCTGGTGCATGCCTCTGGCCATGTTTACTCACTTCACCGGATCTGGTTTTGATTTCTTTTTCGTGTCCCTAGAAAACCCTGGTGGATGTTACTTTGGAAAATAGCAGCATTAAGGATCAAATGAGAGATCTGCAGCAGACCTACGAAGCATCCATGGGCCAGCTGCAGGAAAAGCAGAGGCAGCTGGAGGTGGCGGAAGTTGAAAACCAGCTGCTGAAAATGAAGGTAAAGTGGGGGAGCTCTGATGTCCCCCTGACCCTTCTCTTCTTTCCCGTTTCTCCTCTTTCTTCCCATCTTCGGTAATTCCATCTCCTTTCCCACATTTTTGTGGCCAACTCCACAGGGCCGCGCTTGAGGGCACTGAGGGGGTTTCTGTGTTCGCTGCTGTCAGTCTAGATTGGGGTGCCCCGTGAAGACCCCCAGCGGGCACTCCTGCCCCGGCCCCGGCGGCCTCAAGGGCTGCTGAGACCATCGTCAGGGCGCTGCTGTCACATACTGAGAGGGCCCTGGGGGTGCCCACAGGCCTGGGACTTCAGAAGCTTCACTATTTAGATTTTCTCTGACGTCTCGAGGTCTTTCTGTCTGGCGTGAGAAGAAAGAGCCTGAGAGCACGCAGGAAAAAGATCCGTGGGTGACCGAGGGCTCTGGGCAGTGTCCCTCTTGTCCACCAGGCTGTGCCTATTCCTCAGCGGGGCTTCTCCTGCCTTGGAGGTGTTAAGGCCCCTTCCGGATGTGAAGGCTGGATTGATCTCCTACCCCCTGGTAGGAGCAGACCCCTGGGTGGCTCGTAGAAGGCACTCAGTAAATTACTTCCTGAATGAATTTGTTCGTACTTAAGTCTGTGGCTTTCCAATTGTGTTCAACACAGCATTAGGCAATCCTAGAGGGAGAGTACCTCCTAGGTAGTGTATCCACATAATCTATTGCTCAAACCAGAATACGTTTGGGAGTGAAAGGTGGTGCTATTAAGAATTGCGTTGGGGGAGGGGCGCCTGGGTGGCTCAGTCAGTTGGGCACCCGACTCTTGGTTTCGGCTCAGGCCATTATCTCAGGGTCGTGGGATGGAGCCCTGCGTTGGGCTCCGTGCTCAGCGGGGAGTCTGCTGAGGATTCTCTCTCCCACTCCCTCTGCCCTTCCCCCTGCTCGCACGTCCTCTCTCTCTCTCTCTCTCAAATAAATAATTTTTTTTTTAAATTGAGTTAGGGACACACACAGGGACATGTGGTCCCCCTTCGTGTGGGGCTGCCTCACACGGAGGGAGGGGTTGCCACATTACACTGTGTCGTCACTGTGATTGTCACCCCATGGGTTTGTGCCCGCACAGTCTGCCTGGCCAAACACAAACACCCTGACCAGATTGCTCGAGAGTAGATCAGCTGCTCTTTGCCTCACTTCAAACAGGGCAGCTCTTCTCTTTATTATTTCACATACTGTGTGTCTGAATAAGAGTTAGCTTTGAAAAAAAGAGGTGTGTTGCTGGAAAAGCCAGAAAGTACTGCTGACTTTTTCTTCTCTCCTGAGCTGGGCCTGCACAGGAACCAGGAGTCCCTGGCTGAGTGTTCCCCAGACCAGGTGGGAATGTTTCTAGATGCAATATTTAGGAAGGCACAAATGTATGGAAAGGCTGGCTCCAGATTTCTTACATGAGCTGAACTTAAGTCTCTCCTAGGTACTCTTTGGCCAGGGTAATTAATGGGACAGATTCAACTCCACGTGGGCAACTTGCCTTCAAAGGCTTCCCCACTTCTCTGACGTAACAAAATTTTAAAATAATGTATGCATGTGGTGGTGCGGGGGGAAGAGCCAAACTGTATGAAACTGTATGAAAGGTAATCTAGAAATATGCGTGCACCATTTTACATCCTCACCAACGCTTGGTACTGCCTCATTGCTGATGGCCATCCCAGGAGTGGGAAGTGTATCTCGTGGTTTTGTGTTCTCTGATAACGGATGATGTTGAGCATATTTCATGTGCTTCTAGGTCATTTGTATATCTTTCCAAAGAAGAAATCTATCAGAGCCTTCACCCATTTTAAAGTTGGATATTTTATTATTGAACTGTAAAAATTTCTCATATATTCTGGATACAAGTTACCAGATATGTGATTTGCAGATCTTTTCTCCCACTCTCTGGGTTGTCTTTTCACTTTCTTGATGGAATCCCTTGAAGCATAGAAGTTTTAATACTAAATACTGATGAAGTCTTTCTATTTATCTTTTGTCACGTGTGCTTTTGGTATCCTAAGAAACCATTGCCTCACCAAAGGTCATAAAGATTTACCTTATGTTTTCTTAGAGGAGTTTTATAGTTTTGGCTTTTACATTTAAGCCTTTGATCCATTTTGGCTTAATTTTTGGCTATGGTGTGTTAGGTGTCTGTCTAACATCGTTCTTTTGCATGTGGCTATCCATTTGTCCCAGCACCGTTTGTCGAAAATACCATTCTTTTCCCATTGAATGGTCTTGGTAGGTAATTTCTTGAAATTTATTTATTTTTTATAACAGATAAATGATTTACTTAATTCAGAGTCAAATCTACAAAACAATATATGCAGAAGTAGAATATCTGTATCTGTAATATTCCCTTTTGTCTCTTATTCCTTCCTTCAATAGGTAACCTTTGAATTTTTAAATTTTATTGCTTATCCTACTCCGACCCAATTCTAATAGTGTAGTGATCTTTTTGTCAGCCTACAACAGAATATTCCAGAATTAAAAAAGCATCTCTTTTTTTTTTTTTTTAAAGATTTTATTTATTTATTTGAGAGAGAGAATGAGAGAGAGAGAGCATGAGAGGGGGAAGGTCAGAGAGAGAAGCAGACT